CAGGGCACAACCCCCCCCCCACACCCCGCCACAAGGGATTGTGCAGGAAGTAGCAAATAGATGTTTCTCTCTATCCCTCTCCCTTCCTCTCTAAAACAAAAAATCAATAAAAAAATGTGAGACCATAAAAACCTTTGTCCCAATAATAAGAATACTTTTCTTTAAAACACCCTATTATGCTTACTATGATTTTGATTTTCATGGTTCTGATTTTCTATAATGCTACATATCAAGTAAAGAAGCTGTTACTGAAAAACACATGATGTCTTTTAACCCAGCTCTCACCTGGAATGACTGAAATAGTTTTCAGTGCTCGGAGAACTCTGAATGTTCTCAACGCTGAGACATTGCCCAGGTCCACAAACTCTGTCACATATCTGCAGTAGGGAGTTCACACACAAACACAATGACAGGATACAAAGAAAGAGCTGTAGGTACAACAAGCCTTATACTTTACACTAACCACTTCTTACCTGGGATTACAGAAATAGTTTTCAAAGCTCTCAAGACTCTGAAAATTGGAAGAGCTGAAAAATTGCTTAGGCTTACAAATTCTGTTACATACCTGTAGAATTAAATCAGAGTTATTCAAAATTTAAGCAGGATTTTATATATTTGCTTGGGTCTCCTATGAAGACATTCTTGGTGATTTTGAATGATAATTGTGTCAATAGCAATTTAAATATTAGAGGCTATTGCTATGGGTTTCTTTATTCCCATAATTTAAGGCCACCAACTAGATGAAAACTTCATAAAGTACACAATCCTGTTGCCATCTTGAAAAGCAAATGCAATCAGCATCATGTGTAACTTAGGATAATTAAGTTAAAAGAAAGCTTACTTATAGTTTCAAGGTTGCAGTTAGGGAAAAAAATGCATACAATCATGCAAGTGAAATTTATGCGTGAAAAGGCAGATTGCCTGACTAGCTGTACATGACAAAGTTTTTCTAGTGTAACCTTTAAGTGAAAGGTAAATTAAGGACAATATTTTATGGGGCCCAGTGATGCTCCTGCCATTGCTGCTATTTTGTTCTAAAAAACAGTAGTCTCATCATGCCTTCTTTTAAATCATGGCCAGAGGGAATGGCAAAGAATTGGCTCTTCCTGATGAGATGTGGAATGAAGACAAGAGAGGCAGTGTTTGGAGCCCCGAGAATATCAGCTCTGCTTCTCTTCCCATTTACTATCTACGTATACCTGTAAAGGCTAAAAAGTTCGCTCCAGAAAGAATGATGAGGGCAAGTGGTGCAGGTCCACTTTCCTCCACATTCTCATTTCACCTGCTCCTGTGTGACCTTCTATTACTTTTCTGAGTTTCTTCTCTCTTGGGGAAATTTACCACTTGGAAAAAAAGGTGTGTGGGGGGGGGAGGGGGTAGACAGGGATGCAGATATTGTGCACATACTGAGTGTATATGGAAGGGAGGTAAGGATAAAAGATTTATGTTGAGGGTGATTTATGTTAAAGGGAAATAAGAAAGAAAAGAAATCAGTTTAGAAGTAGGAAGTGGCAGAGAGAGTATGTCCATTTGTAAGACTAAAATCATTTGCTGATGAAATAAAAATGTAATATATTAAATAACTTATTCCCCCCCCCCTTAGTTTGATTTGGAATGTTTTGATGCTAATAGGTGTTTATTTTCTACTAGAGGCCTGGTGCACAAAATTTATGTGTGTGTGGTGGGGGATGGGGTCCCTCAGCCCGGCCTGCACCTTCTCCAATACGGGATCCCTCTCACAATCTGGAACTACTGGCTCCTAACCCCTCACCTGCCTGCCTGCCTGATACCCCTAACAGCTGCCCTGCCAGCCTGATGGCCCTAACTGCTTTTCCTTCCTGTCCTGATCACCCTAACTGCCTAACTGCTCCCCTCTGCCAGCCTGATCTCCCTAACTGCTTATCTGCCCTCCCTTCCTGGCCTGATCCCCCTAACTGCCTGTCTTCTGTCCCCTCCTGGCTTGATCTCCCTAACTGCCTATCTGCTCTCCCTCTCCGTGCCCTTTGGACCCCTGGCGCAGGCATGCTGAGAGCTCTCCGCTGTGCCCCCACCCCCATCCTGATTGGTTGTTACATGATGGCGTCCAGGACAATTTTCATATTCCTCTATTATTAGTATAGATTATTTTACCAAACTAATAGAAGATGGAAAAGTCAATGGGTAAAGTCAATGAAAATTGGTGCGGCCAGCAGAGTTGTTTGTGCCTGTATTTTTTAAAAGTCATTTTCACCGATGTAAAATGAATAAACTTTTGCTTTCTTACTAGTGTGTGCGTGTGTGTGTGTTGAAAAAGCAGCATGTGTGAAATTTGCTAGATGTTTGTTAAATGTGAAAATTGTAATTTCAACCAATGCAAAGACTTTATATGCCAAAGTGAAATGTCACGTTGACCTCTGCTATACTAAATTAAAATCCGAAGCTTAAATGTATAAATCACACCAAAATATTCTACAGTTACAGCAAACTTATTCTTTCAAAGCATAAACACTCATAGAAAGCCAAACCACACTCTTTTGAAGTTTCAAAAAAGGCACTTACGCAAATGTAATGACTGTAAAGTCGAGCCAGTTCCATGGGTCCCGAAGGAAAGTGAAATCCTCTAAACAGAAGCCCCTGGCAATAATTTTTATAAGTGATTCAAAAGTATATATTCCAGTGAAGGTGTACCTGGAGATAAGTATCCAGAAAGAATTGATAAAGTAACATATTTTTCATAGTAAGTCAATTTCTTATCACCCTGTCAGTGGAATAGATGAATTATTATAAAAGGAATCTGAGCAGGTTGATGTTATTTTCATGGAAATAAAACATAGCCCTTAATTTATATTCAATTCCCTAAAACATGAAGAGTGTCCTGAGAGCAGAGGGAATTTAGAATGAAATATGAGGCTAACTCAGAAACTTGGATGTTTCCAAGGTTTAAATCTTTTACTCAGAAGTTAAAGAATAAAATCACAAAAACTAGGATGACTAAAGACCTGTGGACCTCACATGTCAATGTCAATACTTTAGGTATTCTTTGCATACAGTTTTTCCTTCATAATCTTGTCCCTTTTCTGATTGGCTCCAATCTGGAGCTGTCTAAAACTGAAGAAGATCTTGGGAATAGCTCTGGGCTGTTGTTTTAAGGTCAACAGCCTTGGAGTAATAGTGGTCACAATATGGGCAGAATGAGCACCTATCACAGATCTGGACCCTCGGCTCAAATGTATTCCAGAACAGAGCCCACATTAGTTAGTGATGTTTCTGTTTTCTGAAAATGCTATTCTTTCCCCTCAGTTAGTTAAGTCCGTAGTCTATTGAATTTTCAAGTTTTAAAATCCCAAATGTTGGGATATCTTTTCTGCAATGTTTTTGGTGAAACTGATACAGGCCTGACCTGAATAGGATGTGCCTGATGGAAGGGAAAACTTGTGAGACTCAACAATGTCTTCTGATGGCATGTGTAACCCGCCCCTGTAAATTTGTAACTCACTGAATTCATCTGAAATTTACCTGGGACCAAGTCCTACTATACTGGCTCTTTTTTGCAATTGTTTTCACCACACTTGCTTTGACCACTGTAGATACTAAAGAAAAAGTGATAAGTGTCCAAGAATGATGGCTCCTGGTATCCACCAAGTGCACGTGAAGGAGAGATATTAGACCCAACTCCAGCAGGCCTACGGGTCAATGGGTATTGTCTTCCTGCTTTGTAATTGTGCTTAGAAATGCTTTTAGTAATTACACATTTTGGTTTTATTTAGAAGGTACATTAAGACATAGTTTCAAAATCCTAACTATATATTTATATTGATATGTCTAAATGTATATATTTATATCTCTCTGCCTAACATACATATATAGTCACATAGTAGGTGGTTTAAAATATAAGTTGAACTTACTCTACATTCTTTGTCCATTCAGGAGGGTTACTCATGGTCATAAACACACAGTTGGTCAAAATAGTGCACATAATTAGCATGCTGAATAATGTGGGTTATTGTTAAGGAACACACACACACACACAAAATCCAAATCTATGTATTATATAAAACTAACATTGAAAAGCTTAAACTGAATTTTAGCCAGGACTCATGAAAAATACACCATGGACAAGTTATCTAATCTCGTTAAACTTCAGGTTTGTCATTGGTAAAATGTAGCAATTATATCACCCTCACAGAGTAGCAATATAGATTAAATGAGATAATGTTCAAGAAAGCTTTATATAAGGACAAAGTGTTGCTTTTGCTACTATTACTAAATCAACATATTTACCTCCTAGAAAACTTTAGAGGGAAAGCTATGTGCAATCTGGAGTCATACAGTTTTTGAGCAGAGAGATTGACTTAAACTATTTCAGGTGATTAAAATAGTAAGTTGTTGAAGAGGGCACATATCTGCAATATTGTAATTTCTGAAACAAATGTTACTTAATATAGTTAAACACATTTAAAAATTTATGTACCGCCCTAACTGGTTTGGCTCAGTGGATAGAGCGTCGGCCAGTGGACTGAAAGGTCCCAGGTTCGATTCTGGTCAAGGGCACGTACCTTGGTTGCATGCACATCCCCAGTGGGGGGTGTGCAGGAGGCAGCTGATCAATGTTTCTCTCTCATTGATGTTTCTAAACTCTCTATCCCTCTCTGTAAAAAATCAATAAAAAATATATTTAAAAAATTTATGTACAAAGTACAGCATGATGCCAGGTGTTGGGTTGTTCTGTTTTGACTGAATTAACTATAGCAGCCATGGATATGATTAAAAGTGAATATTCTTGAAGGCCAGGACTTAACATGATGTGAATATAATTAAAATTTAGCCTAAAAGTGGTCTTGTCTCAGTTTGAGGTGCAGATTAAATGAGTTAATGTGTGTGATATGATAAGTATTAGCTAAAACAAATGACTGAAAGGGACCTAGAAAAACAAATATTGTAATCACTCTATTATAGACATCAGGCAAATAAGGCCTAAAACAGAGAAATTAGATAACTCAGCCGAGGACTAGAACACAAATTTTCTGCCTTCATATTCAATATGCTTTCTACCACAGTTTGTTGCCAAAACAAAAATTTTCCATAAGAAAAAGAAAGTTTTCATCAAATGACCACATGATGGCACTAGAAACAAAAACTAGGATATGGAAACCATACCTGTAAAAATGCTGAAATATGATTTTAATATTTCAAATCTTTTAATTTTAATAACAACATATTTATATCACTGAGGATTTTCTTGTTATCAGTTAAAAAAATAGAATGGTCTTTTAAGTTTTATAATTTTTTAAAGAACCAGGTTGTATGAGTTTATGATCGTTATACAAGTACTTCTATTTTTCTTATTGCCAAAGCCATCGAATGAGACATAATCAGAAATTAAGTTTTTGCCAATGAATATGAACAGACGAAGTTATTTGCAAAGTCCTTCTTTTTCTTTAACACCATGGGAACCACATTGCCACATTCCTAAAGACCATTTGGAAATATAATCTAAGCTTCTTTCATTAACTTCTGTAGTCTTTACTAAACAATCAGTTTTGCTTGATAGTAATAATTTAATGACTTAAATTGGAAATTCAGCCAATATTACTGTAATGCCTTCACAAAATTCATTAGGGAAGTTCAATAATTAGCTAAGTATTAGTCAAGCTCTCTGACCATCTTTCATAGAAAATATGCTTAAAGTTTTATTCTAAGGTAAACTAAACTGCTCTTTATTATAGATATGTCTAAACTTGGCTATGGAATTAGACTTCTTTGTTATATCATTCTTTGCTGCATATCCCGGGTCATTACAAACTGTGTACAAATATAGTAAAGAGTAGTATAGCTATCTTACACTAGGTTTGTAGGACTTAACACATATAAGTATTATTAGAAAGATATATGTAGATATATAATGTTAAGACTGTAAGTTTCAGTGACATCTATGTGACTAATACACTCCAAGAATAAAGCTTATAAAAAAAGAATAAGGCTTATATGACCAAAGTAGATACAAAATTAGAGTGACTAAAGCCATAAAATATATGTGTCCCAACTTAATTTTATATTTAACTACAAAGCACTTATAGATTATGTACAAATAGTTAATATTGATTACTTGAAAAGGATATGAATGTACCAAAATCTTAATAGCTATTTTCCTAATGGGATTGAAGGGAGTTAAAATGTACAGGGCAGAGGTGGCACTGAACCGGAAGATGGCCTTCCCTTTATTCAATACTATAAAAGTCTGTAAGATAGGAACACAACATAGAAGTATAAAAGTATAAACCATTTAAACTCTATTGTCTGCTTTCTATTATCTGTCACAACGACTCTTCCAATGTTACAACTTTTGATGTGCACCATGAAGACAATCTGCCCCTGGATTTCTTCCTAACAGGGAGGGCATCCAAAGGCATCACTTACCTTTCACCCAATGCTTCCATGCAATTTCATCACGCAAGACATTTTCCAAGGGAATTTATTTACTTTCTTAATATTTTAAACATCTGAGTTAAATGAATGCCTTAAAGGGGTGAATATTTCATTTTATTCTGAAAATCCTAAGACACTACATTCCTTTCTAGCGATTTCAGCTTTTCCAATTCAAATATCTTGAAAAGTAACTCTGTAGAATGCAAAATCACTCAACAAAACTAATATTTTAAAAAATAATTTTTTTTTTACCATTTATGCTTATAAAATGAATATAACCCTATTGGTAATAGGAAATAAAAACAGCCACCATCAAACCCACGCTTGGGTTAGATGGATATAACCCAATAATTGATTTTTGGAGGCCAAGTTCCTTGGAGAGTATCTGTTGACCAGGAGTGCTAAATTCTGTACTGGGATTTCTGAATTACCTGACACATTGAATTCTAATCCCAATTGACTGCCTATCTCCTGTAGTGCTTTCTTAGCACAGAGGAGTAGCTCAAAGCCTTTGTAGAACTTGGAATCCATAAATGTGAAAGAAACTGCATTCCAAAAATTAAGTATAGAAAGCAATTAGCAGTGTGCAGGAAAAAAAAAAAGCAGCAACCTACAATAGCATAGAAAAGATTCTGACTCAGTGTTTCTTAAGATGTTTACTTACAATCAGACCGAGTTGGGGGTGGGGGAAGCCATTTTCTCTGTGAAGAATATTTCATAGGAAGAGAACTTCATACCTTTTTAATTAAAATTCACCTATTCTTTAAAAGTTGTGGGGTTTTGCCTTAGATCACATTAAGACATAGCGAGCATTTACTATGTTTACTTTCTACTAAGAATCTTTGGTAAGTGTTTACATGCTTCACTTATTCTTCAGGTCATTCATTGATAGATTTCTCATTTCTTTTTCCCTCTAAATTCAAGTAAAGCAATCATTCCAAAACGTTCACTGAGTTTCTGTTTGAAAGTAGCACTTTCTGTCTGGTATGTGTGGAATGCCCTGAATCAGGGCTGTGAAAGTGTAGTCTCCCCACTGGTGCTGGTGTCCAAGTCATTGCTGGACTGGGACAACATAGTGACAGTGAGTGAGTGTTGAGAAACTTGTAAGTCAATTTGACACACTAATTTCATCAGTTGAATGCAATAATAAAAAGCGAGTGTATTTCATTGGTTTGCTTTTTCATTTTCTATTACTTAATTTTATGTATTTTATAGAAGAATGGTGACCTCACCTCTACAACAGAGAGTTTGAGAAGCATTGCTGTAACTTTAACTCTACTAGTATTTTCTTTTTAATCTTTGAAGGTCTCTAGTTCAGAATACAAAGAAAACTATATACCAAGTTCCATTGTAGGAGGGGAGAGTTTCACCTGTACTTACTGGAGGAGCAATCATCATGTCTACAATACTTAGCTCACCATTTTTTTCTGATTCATTCAATGCTCCTGTCCCTAAATGACATTCTGAGTTCACCATAAAATGTGAACAGACTTGTGCAATACAGGTGCCTTTGCCCTAAGAAGTACATGCATACAAAGACACAAAAAGGACTGAGTATGGTCCACCTTGCAAACCTACAGCATATGTTTCTTTTTTCCAAAAACATGTTAAGTAAAACCTGACAGAAATATTGAGGGCTAGGAATGGCAGAGCCAATAAAAATATAACCTAGCATATATATTTTAAAACTAAGAATCTCCTGCCTGGCCTGTATGGCTCAGTGGTTGAGCATCGACCTATGAAACAGGTCATGGTTGGATTCCTGGTCAGGGCACATGCCCAGGTTGCAGGCTCCATCCGTGGTATGGGGCGTGTAGAAGGCAGTTGATCAATGATTTTCTTGTCATTGATATTTCTATCTCTCTCTCTCTTTGTCTCTGAATTCAATAAAAAAATATATATTTTTTAAAAGATTCTTCTTACATCAAATAATATTATAAACTAATTTTTAAATAGATGCTAGTGATATAAAGACATAATAAAGAAGTTACAATTCATAGGTAGCCTAAACAATGGGCTTGAGGGTAAGAGGGATGATGATGGTACTGAATGTAGCTCAGTGGACAGGGAAAAAAATCACCTGGCTCATTCTAAGGAGACGGGACCATGCACATAAGAGGTCACCTGTGACTTTGGCTATGTGCACCTTCCAGCCCAAAGGAAGAAGGAAGTAGATAGTGAAAGGGGTGGTAAAGCAATCAGTGAATTGCAGAGGCCAAAAAAGGGGGTAGGGGAGAAAAAGAAAAATTCTGCCTTGAGGGCTAAAATAAAAAGGAGCAAAACTCAGAAACTAAGCAGAGAGGAGCCCCAAAAGGCAGTAAAAATGGCTGGAACCATTAACGTGAATAGAACGAAGCCCACTGCACCCCTGATGCTGAGAAGTAATGCTAAAGCTAAAAGTGCTTTCACATGGAGGAGTCCATACTTTGTCACAAAAGTTAAACGCAAAGGGACATAATCCTCAATTGTTCTAGCCTTAGTTGGAAACTTTCCCTGATTTTAGGTTGTAGTCCCTTTATCCTATATAATAAAAGCCTAAAATGCTAAGTGTCTGGTCATCTGTTCAACCAATCAAAGCGTAATATGCTAATGGTATGCTAAGGCCACTCAACTGCTCGCTATGACATGCACGGACCACCAGGGGGCAGACACTCCGACCAGTAGGTTAGCTTGCTGCTGGGGTCTGAGCAAGACAGGCCGAACATGCCCTAGAGCCCTGCCACGGTCAGTCTCCAGCTGGCCAGCCTCCCCAATCGTGCGCTGGTGGGGTCCCTCAGCCTGGCCTGCACCCTCTCGCAATCCAGGCTGAGGGACCCCCCTCCAAGTGCATGAATTTTGGGCATCAGGCCTCTAGTTTGCTTATAAAATTAAATAATGTGTGGGAGATAATTATTTTTAACAATACTAGTATTTACAAGAAATATATGTACATTGTGTAAGTGCTTGCAATTTGAATTCATAATGATATTGATGAAATTTACTGTACAATAATGTTTATTCTTTTTTAATTCTTTACAATTCATAGAGATGGCCAAGGCATCCTTGCTAGGACTCCTCTGCTTTTCTCAGGTTGAAACATATATACTTACCAAAAAACTTCATAAATGTCGCTTTAAAGGGTTTATAGGTTTATTTTAAATAGTCTTCCAATAAAGCAGACTTATAGAGCAACCCAATATATAGAATCTTAAATGTGTTACCTTTTTTTTATCAGTAAGTTCCATTTAGAACTGCAAATTTACTGTTTGCAACTGATTTTATTTCTATTTCCTCATCTCTGTATCTATCATCCTTATAGTTATTTGCATAGCCAAGAAGCTAAATATTTCATTTACAAGTTTCAAGAATTAATGGGACTTAGATACATGGTTCTTCAGATAATAGTATTAATAGTATTGAAGGGAGAATAGAGTCAGAAGGGAACACTGTATTTACAAGTAAAGTAAATCTAGAATTTTCAATCATATAGATAGGTGATTGCCCTCCCCATTTAACAAATAAAAAAAGTCTCAAATTGGGAAGAATTCAAAGACTAGCCAAGATGTTATGTACCTCAAATTGTATAAACAAGTACAGGGTGGGACAAAAGTAGGTTTACAGTTGTGAGTACTCAAAACAGTTTATTCTTGTGTTATTACTTATTAAGTATTGTGCTATTTCCCATATGAATAACTGTAAAGTTACTTTTGCCCCAACCTGAATTATATAAGTTTAAGCAAATCAACATTTATCAACTGTTCAATTGAGCGTGATGTTTTACACTTTCCCCTCAAATTTTTATTGTGGTAAACTACATAACATAAAATTTACCATCTTAACCATTTCTAAACATACAGCTCAGTGTTGACTTTTTCTTACACAATGTATTGGATGGCTTATTACAGTGAGGTATCTTGACATCCTTTAAATCTAAATTAGTCCTATAAAAATTTAATTAAAACAACTCAAGATACATTATTTTGCCTGAAGTCACATCAATACAAAATGAAAAGTTCAAAATTGCTGGTGGAAGAGAAAAGGCTGATCCAATAGCATCTAGCTTAAAACAGGCTTCTCTTTATAGGCCAAGGCTGTAGGGAATTCATGAAATCAGTTTAACGTGAAAAATTCTGTGCTTGAAAACAAATTTCAAAATATAGCAGTTTGATTGAATTAGAAAAATAAGATTCTATATATGAAATACCACTTTAAAGATATATTTGTAGTAACATAACTCTTTATAGCCTATATAATAAAAGCCTAATATGCTAAGTGTCCAACTGTTCAACCATTTGACTGGTCGCAATGACGCACACTGACCACCAGGGGGTAGATGCTCCGACCGATAGGTTAGCTTCCTGCAGGGGTCCACCTGATTGGGACTGGGTGAGATAGCCGAACATGCACTGGGGCCCTCCCGTGGCCCCTCCCTGGCCTGATCATGCATTGGTGGGGTCCCTTGGCGTGGCCTGTGCCCTCTCGCAATCCAGGACCCCTTGGGGGATGTTGGAGAGCCGGTTTTGGCCCGATCCCTGCAGGCCAGGCCGAGGGACCCCACCAGTGCACAAATCCATGCACCGGGCTTCTAGTAGGTATTTGTCAAGTTTTTCCACTTATCTCTTCATGTATAGTTAGTTACTAAAGAAACATTTATTGAGTCCCTATATAATAAGCTATTAATAAGTATGAGCATTGCAGATACCTGGAAAGTAGCATGAAACTAGTTTTAGGTTCAACTTTTAATTTAACTAATTTCATTGTAAAAAAAAATGTATTTTGTTTAGCACAATACTTGCAAAGCTCTATGTTATGGCTTATAGAGGAAGCAAAGAT